AAATTGTACAACGGCTCTTTGCCAGAGCCGGGAATTCAGACCAGGAGTCTTGACTCATTTTCTGTGTTTGTGCATAGAGGCACTACTTCATGTAATGGTGTTGAAAGATTTGTACTAGCAGATCAATATTTTGGGGACCTTTTCTGGTCTGGTCTCTGTTTATAGTTCTCTTCTCGAGTGGTGCTCAGCTATCTGTTCATACCAATCTGAGGCAGGTAGCTGGCTCAGAAGAGGTTGTCTATAGGATTTCCTCAGCTTTGATTTTTAATTCTGCCCTCCAGGTTTACTTCACTGATTGCAGTCTACATCATCGGTGGGTTCCTCTACCAGCGCCTTGTAGTGGGAGCGAAGGGCATGGAGCAGTTTCCTCACTTTGCCTTCTGGCAAGATCTGGGCAATTTGGTGGCGGTGAGTGAAAAATCCCTGTATATTCCAAGCCTGGCCCATATGTTAGGACAGGAGAAAATGGCATCTACCTTGTCTTTGTGGACTATGTCTCTCTTGGGTAGACCTACCAGCAGGGTAGTGTACCTTGAGGCAGAAGAGTGGTATCTGCTTTATTTTTCTCAAGTACTCTATTTATGAATCCTTGCTGAGACTGATTCCCTGCTGATATCCTGCAACTGCTACATAACAAACTAGAACGCATGCTCATTAGTGGTTAATCCTTTCCAGGTAGGAATGTTAAGCTGAGGACTGTGAAATGTTCATGTCCAGCTCCCAGAAAGCCTTCCTTGGTCACTGTAGGCAGTGCCATTTATCCTCCATGCTCGTCTCAGCCTGATGTTGCTGCATACCGTTAATCAGTATGCTCAGTGCTTTCAAAACCGAGTAGGATGTTTGTATGTGTGCTTCTCTTGCAGAAACAAGTACTGGGGACCTGTCCCAGACAGCACAGTCATAGGCATGATCCCTTAGCAAAAAGAGGAATCGCAGAAGCTGCTTTGCTTTAGATGCCGAGTCACTTGCATGCAGTCTGATTCCAGTGCAATATCCTGTGCTTGTAGGATGGCTGTGACTTTGTCTGCCGATCTAAGCCTCGAAATGCACCAGCTGCATACCGTGGTGTCGGTGATGACCAGCTGGGTGAGGAGTCAGAAGAACGGGATGACCACTTGCTACCAATGTGATAGGCTTTCAACACTGAGTTCTTTTCTCCCAATCTCCCCAGTGCTTGTTTAGCCAGGTGCCTCCCAGCCAGTTCTCCTTCTCTCACTTCTGATTTTTCTGTACACTATTTGCTTTCCCTGTCTCTGGTGTGTGAAGTCCCATGGATGCCTCTGGGTGTGAACAGCATTGGTCCCTGATGGCATGTCTTATGAATATAATGCTGGTTTAGGTTTTTGAAAATGCAGCAGAGCTGGTGTGGGGGAAAAAGTGCTGAGAGTTGAGTGGAAGACAGCAGGAAAGCAATATGAGTGTTCGGCACTGATCAGGAATGGGAAATGAATCATCGAGAGGAAAAAAGGGCCATGGATGGGTGCAGAAAGGAAAGGAAAAGGAGGCAATGGGTTAAAAAGGGATTTTTGTGTTTCTTTGGTTCCCCCCCCCCGCCCAGGGTTTACAGGATCTGTAAGACACTGGAATTATTTTTCTTTGAATGCATTTTCAGCTTTTCTAGCTTCTGCACTGTGACGCACTGTTTCTGCCAGCATAACCTGCACAGAGTGCTCTACGCCATATACTCCATGGGGGTGGAAGAGGCATTAGCACCTCTGCAGTCTTTTCTTTTCCTAATGGCAATATGTTGAGGAGTACACACCAGTTTCCTTCAACAGATGTAAAGGGATGCATGCCATCCTCTCAGACTGGAGAGAGGCAATGCTAAAAAACTATAGGAGTTAAATTATAGTCTTGTGACTTTCCAGTTCAGTCAAAATATTGTCTCAGTCTTCTCAGCCCTTGAGAAGCAAAAGGAAATGACGTGCTGCTAGGTAAAGAGAACACTTGCTGAAGCTGACATCAAGGCAAAACAAGACAGGTAGCTGCCACTTGAGTTCTGTTACAAGCTTCCTGAGGTGACTGCCCACAAAGCTCAGTCACTATCAGCTTTGCGATTTCATACTCTCCAAAAGTTCCTTGTTTGGCAGAGTTTTCCCTGTGAAGCTACCAGAACTTAGTTTTTATAAAAAAAGAACCATAGGAGCCAAGGATAAAAGTGTTAACACATTAAAAACAGCGTAAAGGACTCTTGCGCTTACAGGTCTGCTTTCGAAAATCGCTGTCCCCTTAAGCATAGTGCAGACCAGTCTTAAGACGCTTGCCCTGTGCAGATGCTACTCACATACTGCTACTGGCTGGGAGTGAGATGCCTTCTCCTGGCTCCCTGGTGAAAAGCAGGTACAGCTGAGTTGTAAGACTTAAGAAGCAATTAGGAAGCAAGGTTCCCATCATTTGAGGGGCTAAACTCTAAGCAAACCCATTCTGCCCTGTTGTAGACTGGCAGAGAACTGTCTTCAGTCATGAGGGCAGAAACTGTGAATAAGCAAGCCACTACTGTTAACAGCAGAGTACAGACAAGGTTCATGTATTTTTTAATACTGCCAAAGCAGTCTGAACAGTGACATTGAGGGAAAAGGGGTGGCCCTGCTTTCTTGCTGGGTCTAGAGTGGGCAAACAATTCCTGCTTTCTTTTGACTTTTGTTACAGTCTCAATCTTTCTCATAACATGGGAAAAATAGGAAGTCACTAAGTCTGTTGTTACTGTTTTTCATGGTGGTGTTTAAGGTAACTTTTTTTGTACAAAACACAACTTTCAAAAATAAAATGACCAAAAAACCTGGTGAAGCATTGTGCCAGAGCATCTTTCTTACCCAGAGGTGAGGGGTCCTTAGCATGTGCTGCCTTGTGTCTAAACTACTTTTTGCCAGGAATGGATCTCTTCTTATTGGTACATGTTATTTTGCTGCCACCTTGGATCACTCCAGTTCCCTGAGGGGTATACACATCTTTCAAAACTCAGACTTTAAAAGCTCAGGTAGTTATGGATGGGAAAAGTTTCCTATGCTCTGTATTTTTCTGCAACAATAAAAATCAAAAGTAACTTTTTGATGAAGGTTGTACTTCTCAAACACTACATTAACATTCAGGTTGGGGAGGGGGGGTTAAAAAGCAGCCAGACCTGCAAAGCCTGAACAAGCATATTTTTATTTTTTTTTTTATTAAGAACATTGAACATGAAATGAAGAAGGGAAGCCTTCCCCTTTGACTGAAATAAAATCCAGTCCTTAGAAGTTGCAAGTAAATGTAGGCAGGCTAGCTGCCTGCCTACCCTGCCAAGAGTCAAACTAAACAGGAGTTTTATCACACCCAGACTGCTAAGGAAAAAATGGTTTAAGGGCAGCCTTCCTTTGCCGATTGCTGTTAGAGATTCTAACCTCCCCCTTCCTCGCCCCCAAATTACATCAGACCAAATAATGTTATCGGGGTACAAGCACAGGCAGCTTCCTTTGGGCCTATTTTCATTCAAGAAGCCTCAGTAGTCTTCTCACATAGGAACAGGGATGTCATTAAAGTGAGATTAAACAGTACAGCTGCTGCCACATTTTATCCATCTTCTAAGCACTTTCCCTCCTCTTTTCTTTCTAACATGGGTCAGTAACAAGCCCATTCCAAAGATCTCTAATGTTTTCCTACCTATGCTACTAGGCCTCCTCCCATGCCCCTACGGCTTTCCTGCATCAGTAGGTACTGCCCACGCAGAAGTCTTTAGTTTCACTCAAATATTCACGTGAAACTTCTGAAAAGAGAGAAGCCAAGACACATGGTTTATAAAATCATCTTGCTTTCAGGTACTTGGCTCTAGGGGTCACTTACCTCTTCATGCTTTGTCTAAATTCCTTCAGGTTTTTTTTTGCCTGTTTGAAGCAGAGGTGCTTCTGGAAGAGAAAAACTCCACCCAGGTTTTCACCTTTGGCAATCTGGTTACAAAACTTCAGAATACCACATTTGGCCCTTAAAAAAAAACCCCAAACTTGGAGAGGCTGAAAGGGAGGGACTCAGCCTATAACATAATTCTACTCCTTCGAAAGGAGAAATAGCATTAAAGGAGGGTGTGTTTTTGTATTTAACTGAGGAAGAAAAATATTTGTTTTACAACACCACCAAAAAAAAACAAAAAAAAAAAACCAAAAAAAGCCTGAGGCAGGCAATACAATTCTGCCAGCTTAAACTTTGTCCCATAAGCTCTCCTGAGGATAATGAAGACAGACACAAAAATAATACAAACTGATAAGAGAACAGAAAAAATCCCAGAACCCCATTTTATAAAGAGCCTTGGCGCTTCCGGAGGCTGCTTTGGATCTGTAAATTATGCCCTAGCACAATGGGGAGACAAACCTAGTGCTGCAGGGTTCCCTAATGTAAGACAATCCCCTTCCCCTTCGATTTTCCCATCACCTTGTCCTAAGTATTCGGATAAATCCTCCTCTGACCGGTTCAGAGAGGAGCATCTGGAGTGAATAGGTGCCGCAACACTTTGTCTTCACTCTGTATCTCTACAGGAGACGGTAAAGCTAAGGCAGCCCCTATTGCCACAGGCCTTCAAGTTTGGTATGCATACTGGAATGGCTATTAAACCCAGTTCATGAGCAGCCTAGGTTTTGCGGTTTTGTTTTTGTTTTGTGTTTTTTTTAAAAGAGCGGAACAGCAGCAGCCCCTTTTGCTCAAATCCTTGTTTGTCCACCTCTGTCACTTGGATTTTTGCTAGTTCCCCTTCCTAAATGCCCCAAGCACAGCTGCTCCCAATGTGCATGTGGGGCCGGCTCTTCCTATGCCTCAAGTTCTGGCACAGTGAGATTCAAAACTAAGATCTAGCAGACCCTGCTGTAGCAAAAAGGGGCGAGGGCAGTTCCCTTTCAGAAGTCTGCTAGGACAGAAAGAGGTCCCCTTCTCGTTGTTATGTGGTATACAGGAGAGGCATATTCAAAATCAGGAAGAAGGAAAGATGTTTCAAGGCCCCAGGTGGGAGTTTTCATCCCCCTTGTAGCACCATTAAGAGACCAAGACATGGGCTTGTGCATGGCAGTTTCAAGCAGTTAAATTCCTTCTCATTCTTCTTGAATGCAAGACCACAGGGGACTGTCCCATTCTTCCCCACCCCAGCAGGATGCTCCAAAGCTGGCAGCTGCCCTGGGGTCAGAGCAAAAGTGAGACCTCCGGCTTCAGAGCTGTTAGGTCTCCTTGAGGACGTTGATCTTGGCACAGATCTTGAGAGCTGGTCCCAACTTGATGTTCATGGCACTCATGAGGTGTTCCTCCTTCAGAAGCAGCAGGGCCTGGCCATCAATTTCCTGTGACCGAAACTCCTCAGCAATCTCCTGGCACCCTGCGAAACCAAAAAAGAAAAAACAGCACTGAGAAATGGATATGCCCTGGGTACTCCCCTCGTTCCCACTCTTTGGGCCTCTGGCAGGTACAGAAACCAAGCTAGGAATCTAACCAACCCCCTTCCCCACTATAGTCCACAGTCTACCTGAGGGCACAGGCTACTTGAGAAGTACAAGTCATCCATCTGTATCGCCTACTCCAATTCAGAAACATGTACAAAAAGGCACTAGGCACCACCAACACCACTTTCTTTCCAGAAAGAAACTCAAATTTCCCCATGCTCCTGGATCATAGGAGTGCAAGAGAGGATCTTAGCTTCACCTTGCAGTGATGCAATGAACTCGTACACTTCCTCCACACTCCAACGACTGGGATTGCTGGACAGGAAGACTGGGTTGATGCCATGGAGATCTGGGGTAGGTGGGGCCATACTAGAGTTCGCCAGGTCCCTCTCTCCATGACTGGCCCTTACTGACAGGGGTCCTGGAGATGTAGGGGACAAAGCTTCATCATAGCTAGAGTTATCAGAGCCTCGACTTGAGTCTTCTTGGCCCTACAAGCCCATAGAAAGGAAAGAAAACAAAAGGTGTTTTGTAAGAAATTCACAATTACTAGGTGCAAAACAAGACACTGGGAACAGCAGAAGTTGTCCCAACAGTCTGGGACAACTGTCTCGGGCTGTCAGTCCAAGAGCTCCCTGATGCCAGAAAGGGGAGACTTTACTCTCGCCTCCCTTCCTCATCCTTCTCCCCATCCCCCCCCAGTCAATTCCTCTTCCTCACGTCAGTACTGAAGTTCATTCGATTCTTCTATAATCCGATTCTAGAAGCAGATGATCTATAATCTATGATCTTCTATAATCATGTGGAAGAATGCTAATCAAATGGGAAAAGTGGATTGTTTTCTACCAAGGCTGTCAGCTGATCTCACTCATCTCACTGAGACCTCGGAGACACACGCGGGAGTGAACACAGGGTGAACCGAACAAGTACAAATGTGAATCCACTTTCTGCAGTCGATGGGCAGCTCACTGTGCCTTGTGTAACAACTGTGTCAGCGTGCACTTGGCACGTCCTGTACAGCTACATCCACTGTGAGAAAGCGGTACATCCAGTAGTGACAACTTTTACACTGAGACCTGCCTTGACTACGTCCTTACCCTGTGGCGCTTGCCCTGGATCTTTGTTCGAGCAATTTCCGAGCTGCTGCGCCGTGGTCCTCGTCGGCGCACACGAGCATAGTTAGCTTCCTGGAATTCCTTCATCTTCTTTCTCTGCAGCCGAAACTGATGGCTGCAGCTGACATTGTACCTTAAATAAGTAGAAGCAGAACAGCAGTTAGGAAACAGCAGCTATCTAAACCTACTGCTTCTCCTTGCTCTAGATGGGGATAAAACTCCTCTTTACCATCAAGTTCTGTTCCTCCTCCTTCTAAGACTTCCCCTTGGAAGGAACCAGTCCAGACTTCTGACACAAGCAATATTTGGACACCAGAGTCTTGATCTAACATCTGAAGGGTCAATTAAGTCATTCCCCTAAGGGAAAAAAGACCCGTAACAAGCACTCTGCTCTCAATCAGAGGCAGCAATGACTAGCCTAACTTCTCCCCAGGTTTTTTTCCCCCAACACTCCCTTGTGTCTTTGTCTAGTACCAATGCAGCGGACCCCTACCAGTATGCATTTGTTTAGTTGGTCAAATCTACATTTGACTGAAGAGAGGTTCTTTGGAGGTCCAGAACTTCCCGCTTCCCACTTCATTTTCTGAGCAAGTCAGAAATCCTGTTTACACTCAACACAACCACCTCTCCAGACCTAGAAGCATTCATAAATCATCTCGAGTCCTAAACGATCTCTGTGGCCAGTGCATCCCATGGAGAGAGGATCAGATGTACTGAAGCGTTGTACACTGCCTCGAGAAGGAGAACATGCCCAGTTCCAGAGAACGTATAATCAGAGAAAAGGAAGATTATGTCTTGCTATTACCTTTTAGCACAGGTCATGGAACAAAACCTCTTGGAGCCACGGAACTGGGTTGCTGGGGCATACTTCCCACAGTATTCACACTTCAGCAAGTTTGCCTTCTTATCAGGTTCTAGTGATATACAGAGATACACACGAGTTGATGATCTGAACCAAAGCAGATCACACACAGTGATTCCCCATTCCACCACTCTTCTGAGCAGACAGATTCCAAGCACTATTCTCTACTGAATCTACTAAACAGTTAGCTTGGGGAAGAAGCTGGGGAAAGAGGCAGAAGCTCCACTAATTAGGACCCCGGGATATTGAACAGAACAGGTTATTTCTCCTTGTCAGTACAGTTTCACTGAACAAGCAAAAAATAGCATATCCCTCGTATCCTACAAGGCTGTGGGGGAAATCTCCATCACTGTGCTCTCTGCTGCATCCACACATCCTTCACAGCCTTCAGAGTCACTAGAGACAGATACAGTTCAGATTCTCCTGCTTACTACTGACACAGGGTATGTTAGATCATATTAATGACAACAACAAAGTATTGTCTTCTGCCAGACAAGAAACAGAGATCCTATGTCCATAGCTTGAGTCTCTAAGGAGTTAGCAGGAAGAGATACAAGTCCTTAAGTATAAAGTTAGTAATACAGTATCAGAGAGCAGAAAACTTTCAGTAACACTAGCTAGGCCTCCTGGTGCTGGAACTCACCCATAGAAGCACTATCCCCTCCCGGAGAATTGCTGGACAGGTTTTCACTCTGGCCAGAAGGAGCCTCTCCCTGCAGCGGTTTCTCAGATTCTTTCAGCAGCTGAGAACAACCCACCTGGACACGAAGAGAAAGAGTTGGGCCCATCAGTAAGGGACTCTCCGCATCCACCGCCCTCTGCAAGGTATATGTTGCTCACACCTTATTACAGCTCAGAAGAATCCCTCTGCCTACTATGGAAGGAGAGATGCTGAACAAAGTTATTACTCCTTTCTGACTCACAGGCTTGGCGGTTCATTCAAAGATCACCAAGTACTATCTGCCTTGAATATCCAGCAATTTCATGGAACTGCATTTCCCCTTACTTGCTTTAACCTCACTTCATGCTTGTTCAAAATGCAGTGCATCTTTCCCTCACTAAAAATCAGAATGAAGAACCTTCTTACAATTACTGCATAAATTATTGCTTTGGGGACTATCAGAGAAAACAGTTCCCATCACACTTGTTTTACTCCTTCCAACCCATTCTCTTTAATGCCACCGCTTAAATGCCTCGCTTCATGCATGACACCTTCCTCCTTGCCCTTCCTCTTCACTGTCTGTGTCTTAGGCTGAAAATGCCGAGTTGGAATATGGGGAAAGAAACTCCTGGCCAAAGACGGAAGCCTACCACCCTCCCAAGAGACCGCTACACCTCCTTCGCCCCCAGCAGAGAATCTCTACCGGAAAGGGCTCTGCTCCTTCCTGGATGACAAAGCCTTCAATGATGTGCGTGAGGATCTGGGGCTTGACGATGGCTTGTGGGGGTTTGGAGTCTCCCATCTGACGCAACACCATCGCCAGGTTTGGGGTGGGAGCAGAGGTGGGGGTGACTGATGCTCCTTCACTTGAGGTGGTATTTGGGGTTGCAATGGCAGCAGGATCAGATTTATCTGGAAAATTAACAGCGCATGAGTCAGTTACCTTTGCTCCAGCTACTTCAAGTGGAATACGAGATCAGATCGTTAGCACACACAAGCAGAGCTCTCCTTTGTACCTCACCTCCAAGGCCACTCTTCTCCTCCACGTTTTTGGGGCTGTCCGTCACTGGAGAGGACCTGGCAGGCAGGAGTGCAGTGACACTGGGCGATTCCTCCTTCTCCTCCTCTGACTCTGCCTTGCGCTTTACTGCTAAGGTCTGAGACTTGCCCTGCATGAATAAAGAGGAACACGTAAGGAGAGAGAGGAACTCCAAATCAAAGAACAAAACAGATCAAAGGCAAAAGGAAGATGCATCCTGCTCCATCGTACATCATTTCCAGCCTGGTTCCTTCTCCTGGAGGTGCCTCTAGCTCCCTCACAGTACATACCTCTACTTAGGAGCATTTGCCTAGCAGGGAGCAAAACTTCAGAAGATTCACTATCATACCGCTATGACTAGGACCTGGTGTCCCAATTCATGTTGATACCTTGATATAATACCAAGACACAGCGTGAACCTCAAAGGATTATTCCAGGAAGAAAGAAATAGAATGGCAGTCACCCAGCAGTTTCCAAACAGGCTTTTGGCTAAACCAGATCAGTTCCAATAAAGGCAAGTCAAAAGAGCAGGGGATGCATGTTGGACAAGAGCAGAATTGTGTGTTGCCCTCTAAAAAAAAAAAAAAAAAAATCAGACAAATCCTGTGACACATTCCTGAAGAAGCAGCCAGAGTTTAGAAACAGTCTCAGCAACTGGCTAAGGATATCTGAGCTGGCACAGTGCTGTTGTCCAAGGAGTCTGGCAGGCCCTAGCTAGACAATTCACAGCAGGAGCACGGACAAGGCCTGTGGAACATGAGCCATCTTTGTTTTCTTCTGCAGAGCCCATTGCTAGGGGATGCTCCAAGGCCTAGAGTCAGTGGCTGGTACCACACACCAAGGGGTCTCTGACCCAGAGGTATCCACACCTAGTGAGGAGAGGGGAGTTCAGTCTTCATGGCCCGCTCAGCTCTCATCTCTCTCCTGACAGAGACAACAAAGAGGCCAGTTATTGTTTGTATTGGGCTTGCGTGGCAAGGTTTTGGTAGCAGCAGGCTTACAGGGGTGACTTCTGTAAGAAGACACCAGAATTCTCCCTGGGTCTGACAGAGCCAGTTCCAGCTGGCTCC